TCACGGGAACACAGCCCTGCACATGGCTGCAGCCCTGCCAGGCCCCCCCTGCCAGGAGAGCCTCGTGCGTCTACTTCTGAGCCGGGGGGCTGACCCCAGTGCCCGCAACCTGGAGAATGAGCAGCCAGCCCATCTACTGCCCCCTGGGCCTGGGGGAGACCAGGTGAGACCCCTGCCCCAGGAGACTGAGTGAGGCCTCCTTGACCCCCAGGACCTGCTGAGGCCCTCAGGCCTAGGGGACCTCAACTCTTCCCCCAAGGGAAGCGGGTGCCTTCCAGCATAACCAGGGTGCAGGGTTTGGTGGGGGTTGGGGTGCTCCAGGATCCCCCTAACTCAACCTCTCCTCTTCTCCCCAGCTGCGCTTCTTGCTGAAGAGCCGGCGCCCAGCCCCTGGCACTGCCCGCCGCTCCTCCCAGCCCCCCTAGCTGCCGAAGGAAGGGCCAGGGGTGTGTCTAGGACCGCGCGCTGAAGGGGAGGGGGGAGGGCTTGGGATTTTGCTGGGAAATCGTCTGTAATATTGTCTCTATTTAACTAACTTATTGTAGCGGGCAGGGGGCCCAGGGGCCTGGGTTCTGCAGAGGCCGGGTGCCTTGCGCCTGGACACCTGGATTCTCCAGGTCCTACACTCTTGTCGTTTGGAGCGCTGGGTCTGCTGCCTGCTGCATCCCTGGGGGCCAGAGCCCCTGGGGGGGGCTAGGCATAGGACTGCCCCCTACTGCACTGACAGAAGGGCTGCACATGGCAGTGCAGAAGAGGGGGATGGCTGGGGCAGCCTTGGCTGTAACCCCCTAAATCCACCCCCCCAGCCTAGAACTCAGGTGTCCTGACTTGAGCCTCCCTGCCCCCCTCCCCCCTGTAAGGGAAGGGGGGGTCCCTTTCCTTAGTCCAGATCTGCACCTGGGGCAGCCCCCCTCCTACTGGGGCAGAGGGGCAGCGGTGTGTCCTTCAGCACCAGCCCGGGCTCTCTGATTTCTGTGAAATCGTCTTGGTTGGGCTGTGTCCAGCCCCCTGGTGGGGGTTCCCCCGCCCCCACTCGTATCATTTCTGTGAAATGTGCCTTATGAGCCACAGTGGCTCACACAGGGGAGGCAGGGTGTGGGGCAGACTTGTGTGTCTGATGTGGCCTTCCACCCCCGCCCTGGGTCTCCTCTCACCCCCAGTTACCACAGCACCGCCTCCCCCAAGCAGGCTTGAGGGACTGACTGTGGTAAGGGTGATGGCAGGGCAGTGACCCTCTAGGGGTAGCAAGCACAACTGCTGTCTGTGTTTCATAGCCCCCATACTGCCAAGAGCCATTCTCCGTGGGAGGTAACAGCAGTTTGGACTCCAGACTGCTGCTACCCCTGCAGGGGGTTCCCAAGTTTGTTCCCCTGTTGGAACACAAGAATTAAGGTTTAAGGTTTATGCTTCTTGCCTGTTCAAACTTCCCACACAGCATCTGTGTTACAGAAACCCGTAGGCCAGATACCCTGGTTCAACTTACCACTGGGCCCAGTGGCCCAGCCCCAGAGGTGGCTGCATCTCTGCACTGGCCAGTGTTACATGCAGCTGTGCCCTGACTCCCCCACATCAGGGGTGGCACCATCTTCCTCCAAACTCCAGCGCTCTGTCCGTGCACGGGGGCAGACTGAGCTTGTCCTGGGTTGTACGGCCCCCAGTGTGCCTGGGCCAGGCCCCTCAGCTCCTGCCACTGGCACTGACAGAGTTACTTGCCTAGCCCTGTGGGCATCAGTGGGGCTCTTGCCCCAGATAACCCCCTCCTAGCCCACCTGTCCTAGCGGCTGGGCCTATTGCCCTGGGGTAGCACTGGGCGCTCTCCTGCCAGGCTGGGCATAGGGCCAGGGCCTGGCCCTGCCTACCCGGGGACAGTGTCCTCTGTCCCCGCCCCCTTTCCATTAGAGCTGCTCCCTTCAGCTGAAGAATCTTGTTCCCCGTTTTCCTCATCCCCCTGAGCCAACAGCAGCCATCCAGGCAGAAATCCTGGTCCCACCTCTGGGCCCAGGAGCATGCGGCCTGGGGGGGCTGCATCTCCCCACAGGCCTGCCTGCCTGGGGCTGTGTTATGTGGGGGGTGTTGGCATCAGTGGCTCCCTGACACCCCTGAATAATAAATGGCTATTGACTCCCTACTGCCTGGCTCCTTGTCGGGGGAGAGGGAGACAGCTGGATGATTCTTCCCTACCCAGTCCCCTGCCCTCCAGCCCATGGTCCCTCCCCCCAAGTAGGGGTCAAGGCCTGTGGGCAGAGGTTTATTACATGGTCAGGGGTTTATTACATGGTCAGATACTAAGCCCCCAGCCCCCTCACACCAGCTCGCCTCTGAGCTCAAAGGGCAGCTCCTCATCTGCCCCAGGGGGTGGGGTGTCTGCCACCCGGTCGTAGATCCTCAGGGGGGCCTCGGAGCCAGCAAGGGCCTGGCCCCTCCATGCATAGGTACCCTGGGAAGAGAGACAGCTGGTCACCCCTCCCTCGCTCAGGCAGGGAGCCCAGGCATCCTGGCTCCCAGCCCCCTCATCTCCTCCCTTCCCCCAACAGCCACCAGACCCCCCACTGCCTTCCCGGAGCCAGGCAGGGAGCCCAGGTGTCCTGGCTCCCATCTCCTCCCAACCATTGGGCCCCATTCCATTCCCCTCCCCGAGCCAGGGAGAGAACTCAGCAGTCCTGGCTCCCAGCCCCAATTGCTCCAAGCACTAGACCCTGCGCCTCTTGCGAAGCCAGGGAGAGAAGCGGGAATGCTGCTGAAGTGGGGGGAGGGGGCAGACCACTCACCATGTAATCCTGACAGGGGGCCAGTCCTGGGCGCAGTGGGGTAGGAGTTTGTGGGTAAAGGGCCCCCAGTTCCTCATAGACCCTAGGCTCCATCATGTCCTCATATTCATGGAGGAGTGGGGGGCCATGCCAGCGGGCATGGAACACAGAGTCTGTAGAGGCAAAGGGAACTGGGGGGG